GTTTATTTTAGTAAACCTTAATAAATCTAAATACATTCCAATAATATTTGAGTTCATTGTATTAGTGTCTAATAATTAGACTAATTATATTTCAATGAAACACATTAAGAGTTTACATACATGCTACTTTATGCCATCAAAGTATGCCAGAGCTATAAATGTAGATCAGTTTCTGATCCTTCTGGTTTCTTCTTGTTTCACTGAGGAATAAACTGCATCTGGATCAGAACCTGCAGGAAACAGAAATAATATTAGATTAACATAATAAATAAAAAACTTTGTTTTTGCTTCATGAAGAGTTTAGTTTTCTAACACCTCTGCAGCTGATGCTAAATATAATTCATGGCTGTGAAACCAGAATGTATCTGAGCAAACTGACGTTTCACCACAAAGTAGAAAATAAACGGATGGAACAAAATGACCAAAAGACCAAAACCACAGAGACGCTTCAGTCTGCTGGGCTCAGCAGGGAGGAGACGACGTGTTAGAGTAGCATGAGGAAGAAAATGAAATAAAATATAGATACTTAGTTACCACTGATGCAGTTTGTTACATGTAGAAGAAAGCAGCAGGCTGAAGACTTTAATACTTTAAAGATTCATAGAGTAACAAGACTTGATCAATAAATGTGAAACCAGCACAGATTAAAATAACAATGTAAGTGAGGGATATAACTGATGTATTTATTAAGAAAATGTGCAGGTTGATTCTAACAGTCTGACCTCATTTCTTCCCCAACTCAAAGCTCCAGATTTGATCTGAATCTTTTCATCACAAACAGATTTTAATTCTTTCCAGTTTATTTCAACAAACGCAGCAGAAATCTGACCGACTCAGTTTTACTTTGGAAGATGAAAGTTTATATTTCAGTCAGTAAAAATCTGAAATGCTGAAATTCACAATGACCTTTTGTGTTTTAAACTTTCAGTCGTTAAAATTAGTGATGCAGTTTTTACTGATTCTGAACAGAAACGTTTACATGAACATTTAATTAATGTTAAACATCAGATGTTACGTCTCATTATGGAGCCTTTTTCTTTTAATATGAGAGAAAATCTGACTTCAGATAAAAAATCTAACCATTATGAAATATTAGAACTTTTTATTATTTTTTTATCAGGAACATTAAACCTTAAGTCTTCTGGTTATAATACAGTTATAAAATATGCAACGATCTCAAACTGAATGAAAATAATTGAGGAGATTTTTACCTCTTGGTTTTGACTTTAGTTTCTTGTTTTTGATGACAATCTGTCCATAATTAATGTCGTCTGTTCTCACTGCAGAGTAAACGGCAGCTGGATCCATTTCTGATCAGAAAAACAAGAAATGGATCATTTATGTTACAAACAAACAGAAATACAGAATCTAAAGCTACAGTCAATAAAACTGATTTTTATTTAGAGTCAATATTACAGCAGCAAAGATCAAAACCATAAAAAAATGTTTTCCATTTAAAATCAGCTGCTTAGAAAGACAATAATGACATGACAGAGAGATACTGAGTTAATTTACCAGAAAATAATTATATTTTTATGTCTGAAGAGTTAAAGTCAGAATATTGAGCAAATGTCTAAAATAATTATCTTTCCTTCTGTTCTGAATTTCAAATGAAACTATTTTTTCTGAGCTGCACTTGAAGGTTACATGGTTTGTGGAAGGTGAATAAAATCAAGAGAAAAGGCAGAAATAAAACTATTTAAACATTAATTGAAGCATTTTGACACTGATGGTGTCTCTATAATCTGGTTTCTGTGGAAAACATGATTGTTGTTCCATATTTAGGTGAAACATTGAAGCAGGAAACCACAGAGGCTGTTAGAGGCTGTGAGGCTCAGCAGAGGAAAAACCATCTATGAAGACGAGTCTGTGGACTTTTACAGATTAACTTTATCATGTAAATGTACGACTTAATGTCCTGTATTTATCTCTGGTGAAACCATGAAACCAAATTTAACAGCATTAATAGATCTATGCTCTGTGTTTCTATGTCTGGGCTCCTGATCAGCTGCTGAGTTTCCTTCACGTTGGTCCAGATTCGTCTTCATCTCGTTTCTCTGAGGAAGATGATCTGTTAGTCACTGACATGATGAGATACAATCAGTTTATATCATCCATGAAGATGGAAACTACAAACATAAAGATGGTGATGAAAACTTCAGAGTTAAAAATGAAAACCCTCAGCAGTGATAAGAACCTCTGACCTGTTTGGTTCTGGTTCTGGTTCTGGTTCTGGTTCTGGTTTCTCCATCAGACATCAGATGATGCCAATTTTATCAGCTTTAATGATGCTAGTATTGTTTTATTTTTATAACTTCAAAATGTTGTTATGTCTGTTGAATATTATTTACACTTTAAACATGAACAAATAGGATTTATTGTATAGAAGGTGACTGAAAATGACCCAGGATAGCATCTATGTATCTATATCTACAAACAGCTGGTCTGTCAGGAACTCCTGGGCCAAGTTTATGACCTAATGCTCTCCTGACTAGAGCCACATTCACACTGAGCAACTTGAACCAAACCAACATGACAGGAATAAACTGGACTTGATCTTAAATCTTTTATCCACTGAGCCTCAATCCTGAAAACCAGGTAAAACTTTAACTATGCAGCCTGTAGAAAACTGAAACATGGAGTACAATAAATTACCTGCAAATTTTCCAGTTTTGAAATGATCTGCTTTAAAACCAAATCTATAATAAAATATCCTGATAAACTAAAACAACATCAAAGACAAACTGACCTTTATTTAATGGTTTATTCTCATGATGCCGTTTTATTCTGACAGCACTGTAGATGATTCTGTCATCTTCAACTTCCTGTCCTTCACCTGGAATAGAAAATAAAATTAATTCACTTTAAAACTTTGTTCA